TCATCATCCACTTCATCAATATCATCAAGTTCTCTTTCCAAACAGGTGATCTCATCCTGCAGATCGAGCAGCACACGTGAATGCAGGTAGCTGAAACTGCGATACAACGCAAAATTTGTGTCGCTAGCTTGGAATGCTGCAAGCCTTGGGAAGCCGTTAGGCGTATCTTCCACTACGTTATATCAGTGATAAGCCATATGAAGACTCTTGAAAATACTCACGTGTCCGTGTGTTGGTCTCAGTCACGAAGAGAGGTTCTGGCTCGGAGCGAAATGAACCTGTCATGCGATGTAAAACCCCAGGCCGCTTCTTGTCATTCGCTGAAGAAATGTCAGTTTTGCTCATATGGATGCCAATCATAGCCCTAGATTGTAATCACGTCATGCATACGAGCTGGCTGACCGGTGTGAGCCATTGCGCTTCAGCTGATGCCGAGCATCGACCATGTTTGGCGCTGGGGGCCAAAATAGTGGCATGGAGTGACCTACAAGGCTGTGCACTCTCAATGTCAACGTCGACATCACCTGAGGTCGTTGGCATTGGGGCCGAGGTAGTAGGATGGCAGTCACTATTCTCGTCCGCTACTTCGATGTAGGCGTCACCTCTTAGGGTTGTTTCGGTACCCGTTGGAGATACTGGCGATTGAGGTGTCTTCTCATCGGTAAACGTATCCCCGGTCATGGTACGAAGAGGGGTCATGGCGAGGCAAGAGACAAGCGAGACAAGCGTGACAGCGACGAACGAACGGACGGAGAGAAGGCGAGCAAGATATTTCGCACAATCGAATATCACTCAAGCGAGCATTAAAAGTGAGTTGTGGCTAATAGATTGTGGCAACAGAAGGGTGTAAGTAGTATTGAGCAGCGGGAACAAGAAAGATGATGGTCGCATGTGTAAGACTCAGCCCCAACGCCTCACTCACAATTGGCTGCGCGCGTCACAATTTCAGCTGCCTGGTGGCATTCCGGTGAGCTCAGCCTCAGGCAATGTAGCACTGTTCAGGCGCCGGCCCTGAGGTCCCTTTCGCGTGTCCAGCTGCCATCGACTTTTTGTGTGTAAAAGTCCTCAAGCTGATACTCGATCCAGCCATGAGGGCTGCTTCTGCGCGCGTAGATCGTATAGGCAGATCTGGTTTGAGCACCACCGGGTGCTGATGCCCTCTTGCGCACCCTGTCGCCCTTGTTGAAGCGCGCATCCGCCTGGCTCTTTGTTAGAGAAGGGTGCTGTGTTCATAAAAAGAACGGACATACTAGATCCGCGTTTGTGATGGGTGCAACCCCGGACTTGGTCAGAGGAGTTGGGTTTTCGGGTGTAGAGTCCAAATTTTGATCCTGTGCCTGCGTATCAGCCCTGCGTCGCTGAAATAACGGGGCGCGACTCACCTCCACAGCCTGAACAGGCTGATGTTCGAGCATTTCGGTTGCCATGATTACTGGAAGTCTGTGAAGCGAGGTAGAATAGCCTTGTAGGGGATGCCCTTGGGGAAGGAGCAGGCTGTCTTCTGTTATAGAGAGGGCTATTGCTGGCCTCCGTGACCATGTACTTGCAGCAGCCCCAGGCAACACAGGTTCGTGACCGGTATTGATGATAGTCGGGACCCTTTGGGTTTGCACAGCCGCAGCTTGGAATGTTTGCTTAGGTGCATGCAGCGATGCGGCACCCATGCGCCATGGCCCCCTCTACAGGTGTCCTGCCGCTGAGCAAGCCGTCATCGTGAACGGCCATTTACCGAAAGAGGCTATGGCACGGGACGGAACGCTCAGTTCTTAGTAAGACGAGCGTTGGGGGTGCATGGTGGAGGCACTGCCTTTGGCCCCCAATGATGGTGGTGTGATTGCGCGATGCGCTAATTGGCCAAGACCAGCTGCATCTGCCATCTCCGCACTCTTCAAGCCGTGGTGCATGCACCCAATATGGGGGCTGAAGGTTACTCCAAGGCTACGAACTCCATCCTTCAAAATGGCGGGCACCTGCGAACTCTCTCAGCCTCGTACCTTGGAGGCTTTTCCATCAAATGGCTCCTATTCCAGACTCCACGATGCGCGTCGCGAACGCAGCAACGACGACCGAGATAGCCCCTCCTCGCAACGCAAACCCCCTCCCCGACAAAGTCATCAATGCCGACATACGCATACGCTCGATTGAAGACGAGCTTCAGCGCAGCGGACAGACTCCCCCAACCCAGGAGACTCTCGTAGAGAGCACGCCCACCAAGGAACATGGCGACGCGAGTACAGAGTCGCAGAAGAACTGGTGGGCCGAGGCCATTGCCGAGAACATGGATCTGGCAGATGGCTACACCAAAGTCGCAGTGCTGTTGATCAAGTGGGAGGACGGTCTCGACGAGCTCATGACTGGTGACGAGGTATGCTGAGGGGAGACGCGTTGTATCTGAACTGACTGACTGACAATATCAAAGGCCAGAGAACTCGCAACCCTCTTCAGCGAACGCTTTCACTACCAAACCAAGACGGTCGAATTGAATGTACGAGAGAAGCCACAGCACCAGCTCAACAAGCACGTCAGCCAATTCATCTGCGAGCATGATGGAACACAAAGTCTGCTCATTGTCTACTATACTGGGCACGGCGTGTATCAAAAGTCTACCAAAACCTTGCAGCTCACCGTCACGCAAAACCCCGACGAAGAAAAAGGCCTGAGCAAGATAGGCCATGCGAGTTGGAACATGGCAGAGGAGCAGCTCCGTCAGCCAATCGTTGAGGCCGATGTACTGACTATATTGGACACTTGCTACTCTAGCAATCTTGTGAAGTCCAGCCGGCAGGAAGAGAAGAAGTTCGAGCTACTTAGCGCCTGTTACATCGACGAGACGACTGCCGCCCCCGGCCCCAATTCGTATACCCGTGCTTTCATCGACGCTGCCACACATTTCCTCGACAAAGATCCCAAGCGTCCAATATCTACCTTCAGCCTAACACAGCGTATCAATGAAGATAAGAGGCGTATCGATACTCCCTCACATCTCTGGGGCCGTAGCCGCATCCCTCAGCCCAATCAAGAGCACATCTTCTTGACACCCCTCAGTCCTGCCAAAGTCGATGCTTTACACCAATACCGCCCAAGAGCCAATGGGTACTTGACGTTACGATTCGGTCTGCGCGACGCCTCGCTGAATCAAGCACAAATCGATTACATGGCCAAGCTCCTCACAAAGGCATGGAACAACAAGGATTCGATTGGCTTGAGGAGGATCGACTGCATAGAAATGAAGCCTGCTCCGCCACTGTCGCACTTCGAGCGCGTGACATCCGTCCTGCGTGTCAAAGCGCAGTGGAAGAGGGTCATTGCTAGGAACAAGGAGAGAAAGCAGTCGCAGAACGGCGGTGATGCGAACGGGTCGGTGAAGCGCGCATGCGAGGACACAAACGAACTGCCAGATGCCAAGAGGCAGCACTTGGGACCAATACCCCCGCCATCCCCGGCAGTATCGGATGCCTAAGGCGGTGTTTCACCCATTCATTTTCGTTTCCATCATCGCTACTCCTTTGTCTTCAGTCATGTTTAGATCTCGGATACCCCACTGGTGCTTCTTGCAAGAACTACTTTCTATTATCATAAATCAGTCATTATATATCTAATGTATTCGCAACTATGATTGCACTTGATTCGTTGCGGCCAGGCATTTCCATCGGCTTCTACTCGGAGGTTGCCCAAACAGGTGGCGCCACTTCTTGGTCTCACCACCAACATCACGTTCACAAAGATACAGCAGGGTAATGCTAGACACGTAGCACACTATACAGAAATGCCTCGAAAATTCCATCTCTCCGGCTGCTGCGTGATACCCTGGTCAACACGTTGCGCTGATCGTTTGCAATGTGGTATAAAGTCGAAGCTTCCGCACGAGGATACGCTCACATATCATCAACATCCAAACCACCACTTCAGCCTATAAATCGCCATCGCAGCCTAAGCCTCATCGGCGTTAGCCGTCAACCAATCTAGTCATCAACATCCTACCACCCAATGGCTGCACCCAGCACAACCGCCGCTACCATGCTGACACCAGACCGACAAAACCTCACCATCGGTCATTGTCGCGCACAACGACAGGCACTCTATTCCCACACCGATCTTGGCACACCCACGCTGCTACAGAAGAGGCCGAAACCCATCATCTTTACCCCACGGGTAAGTGAGGATGAGTGGACGGAAAGTCAAGAAGAACTCGAGCGCTGGGGTATGGGAGCCACCAATACGACGAAGCCATGGTCTAGTCAAGTCACAGCACCAAGCCGTTCGCAAGGGCGGGGTTTGGAGTACGGGGAAGTAATGGGATTCTGTTAGTCAAGAGGAGGAAAAGAAGAGATAAATGAGGAATGTTGTTAAGATTTCATCATGGCAATCGATTGTTTCTACTATCTCTCTATATCGGCCTCTCTCCTACTACTCTTGCTAACTAGTACTTCGCTTCTGCTTCGCGCACTGCAACTGTTACACTCCCCTCCAGCGCGCATACCCCTAGCGCGCTCACTTTTTGATATCGCAATCCATTATCTTAACTATCTCGCGATGTTGGCCTCTCTTCTACTACTCTTACCAACTAGTATGTCGCTCCTGCTTCGCACACTGCAATGGCTACAACCAACTTCAGCGCGCTTGCCCCCAGCGCACTCGCTCCTCCCCAGGAAGACGTCTCACATCCGCCGCCTAACCACGTCAAGTTCGCTCCTTCAACGATTGCTAGGCAGTTGAGCATGCTATATCGTCAACACCATTCGTCCGTCCCTATCTCTGTCGAACGTCCTCGCACCGCTACATTTCCCTGCTTTAACACCCCTCACTGGTAGCATCAGCTCGGTGTTGCTGTGTACTATCAACGCTCAGGCTGCCAAACGTTCATGCGCCGCTACATTTCCCTGCTTTACCCCCTCACTTGCAGCGTCACCTCAGTGTGGCTGCGTACTGTCGACACTCAGATTGTCAAAGGTCCACGCGCCGCTGCACCCCCCTGCTTTGCCAGGTTAAGGGTGTCTACTATGGGCAAAAGAAAGATCCAACATGACCCATACAAACAAAAGAGTCTAGACAACTACGTCTCGCGCAACACCCGGCCCAGTCTTAGCAAGACTACACCAAAGAGCAAGGAAGCCGCCCCCGCCCAACCACCCAAGCCCATCAAGACTCAGCGGAAACGGCGACGAGAAGACGACGACGACACGGATGCGGCGCGGCCCCCCGCACAGGACACCAGGCTTACGAGAAGCGCCAAAAAAAGCGACTACATGCAGGGTCAACCAGTCGACACGAAGATGAAGATGATGCTAGCCTGCACGAGTCCTACATAGCAGGAGCAACAGACGATGACACAGGTAGTGTTCTTGAGTCAGAGAACTACAGCGATCCCGAGGGCGACGAAGAGGATATGTTCCTGAGTTCAGACGACAACGAGGATGAGGCCAGCCAACCTGAGGACGAGGCCGACCAGCTCGACGAAGACAACGAGGACGATGCCGACCAGTCTGACGAAGACAACGAGGAAGAGGCCGACCAGCCCGACGAAGACAACGAGGACGAGGCCAACCAGTTCGAATGCGATGCCGACCAGTCTGACGAGGCCAGCCAGTCCGAAGACGAGGTCAACCAGTCTGACGAGGCCAGCCAGTCTGACGATGCTGACCAGACCGACGACGATGCCGATATCCACCATGCGGACGATGATGACATGAAGGAGACACAGTACTCCCTCGAGATACCGCTACGCGACCAAGATCTCTTTAATGTTGATGTTACCGCCGCCGAGGTTACATCTATAGTGGAAAAAGTCTTACCTGCGCTGTTATTAAGAAAGATAAGAAACTTCTACAGAACTATCGCAGGCTATCTTAAGAAGTCCCCTCTATTTAGGATCCCGGCGCGCTCTTAACACCCCACAACCTAGTCATTAATCAACCCTAACTTCGATTTACTATGGAAGCACTCAGTCGACGGCGGGCAGGCTCTAGACCTCGGCGACCCAAGGCTGTTACCAAAGTGGCTCAACATGTCGGAACACGGTCTCGTAAAGCCAATCGGCTCGTTCACCAACACCCTACTGCTAATCTCCAGCTACCCAACAGCTACCCAACAGCATCGGAGGAAGGTAGTGTTCATAACTACTATAGTACCGTGGACGACATGAGCAACGTCTGTATGTGGATGCTATACGCTAAATTCAGATACCACGTGGCCGACCTACGATCGCATGGGGTCATGCACATTGACATCATGGCTCGATGCCTCGGCCAGAATCTGATACCAGGATCTGATGGAGATAAGCTCTTTCAAATCACACTCATTAAACCACTCTGGCACAGTGTCGTATGCTGGTATTAATAAAGTACAATAAATTATTCAAGATTATCTAGGTAGAGCGGGATGTGTGTAGCTACTATGCTAACTAGATGAGATTCAGGCATGTTCACAACAAGTAGGGCTAGTGTGTGATCATCTAGACAATCGGATAACTTTCAGATCTAAAATTCTGTAGTCCCCGCCTCATGCCACTGAATGAGAGGATCCTGGGGAAGATAGCTAACCCCCAACGAGCCGGATAAAGGTTCTATTATAACTACTCTATGCCACTTATTAAAAGTATCCTAGAGAAGATACCTAACCCCTGATGCGCTGGATTAGAGTTATGTCGCGACTGTCTTATGCTACTTACTAAGAAGACGCGGGGAGGATAGTTGGCTATTGATAATGCGCTGGGTGTGGGTCCTCTCGCGACTGCCTCATGCCACTCACCCAGGAGACGCGGGGAAGATGGTTGGCCATGATGCGCTGGATGTGTGTTCTCTCGCAACTGCCTCATGCCTCTCGCGACTGCCTCATTGTACTCGCTTCTGGCACACAGCACTCGGGGTATCTAATATTCAAATCTCTCGTACTTTACGCGTTTTCAATCTGTCCTTTACGTTTTCAATCTGTCCTTTACGTTTTCAATCTGTCCTTTACGTTTTCAATCTGTCCTTTACGTTTTCAATCTGTCCTTTACGTTTCCAATCTGTCCTCTACGTGTGCCAGTAAACGCATTGCATTCCCCAAGACCTCAATTACCATGCCGCCACCGCGCTCATCCAACAAGGAAAACTCCCCACCTGCGAAGAGACCCAAGAAGACAGTACTGTCGGCAGCAGCCTCAAGAGCTCGCAACGCGCCTTTGACTGGAGCACTGTCGGCATCACCGTCCCAACTACCTGAACCGCCACCAGGACACCAGACAGCGCGGACTCGATCATCAACAACGAAAGCAAAACGACCCCCTGCGTTTACGGTATTCACCAACAACACCGGAGCGACAGAGCAGATACTTGACGACGCGGATCCCACAACTAGCATCATTGACGAATGCACAGTACCTGACATCGTTGACCGATGCTCCCTAACAGATAACGACCTGTTCAGTGAGCTAACCGCCGACGAAATCCGCAGTTTGGTAGAACGATTGTTGCCAGACCTCCAAGAAGATGGTAAGCTCTACTCTACAGCACGTAAGGCGCATATGTACTAACTTTACCAGGAGTTCAAGAGTTCCTTGCGACCGTCTATGACCACGCATGCACATCGCCGCCTTTCGTTATACCCCGCCGAGAGCGAGATCCGTCCACCTGGCCGCTTACGTATCCGGACATGGACTTCGCATGGGGACAGGCAGTGGAAGGCGAACATGCTATTGAGCTCCCGGACACAATGGACAATTGGATTGACATGAGCGAGAGCAATTTGGGTAAGTTGTCAACGTGAAGTACGTTGAGGAGCCTCCAAGCTAATTACGCTCACGCAGTTAAACCTACTGGAAGCCTCCGCGATACCCTTCTCATTGTCAGCTCATACCCCACTGCCAAGGAGGATAGCACAGTTCATCGATCGTATGGTACCACCCTAGACATTTCAAACGAGTCCATGTTTATGCTCTACGCCAAGCTTGGCCACAATGTATCCTCGATCAGAAACCACGGCGCCCTCCACTTGGACGTGTTCCCCAGGCGAGTTGACCGCAACATTGCACTCGGTCTCGGGAATATCGTCGACCAGGTTCCGACCAATCTCGGCATGTATTGGAGACTCGTGGTTCGTCAGCTCATTGAGTCATCGCATTCCAAACTGGCTCTCCTCGTCGGGTCCGCAGGTGTTGCCACGTACGTCGACTATCTCAAACAAAACAACATCCGCTATCAAATATTTGGCTATCGAACAAAAGCGTGCAAGGCTACTAGAAAGAGAATCATCATGGAGTAGAACAGGTTGCAGATGAAGAGAGAAGCGCAAAAGAAGAGTGAAGGTGAGGCTCCAAAACGGCGAAAGCATGGCAGAATGCCGAAGAGCCTACAGTAAGCTACATACGTTGTACCTAGGACTGCGACGAGTATCTATTCCCAAGTGCCTCTACTATCAACTAAGGTTGTTTGATCCATAAGGTGTGTCACGCGGCAGCATTTAGAGAGAGGTAAAGAGGTAGCAGAAAATCCGGCTGCGGTCTGTTGATACAGCTGTCTGGCGCCTACGTATTCTTGTAGCATAGCACATTGGCTGTATTTTGGCACGTGTATTCTGCAAACTACAATTTCGGCGCCCTCACTTGAAGCACTTCATCAGAACAATCGCCATCTCGTGTTGCTGCACTTTGTGATTCGGTGTTCTCTTATGTCGCGGAAAACGTAGAGCAGGGTCTAGAGAGACGCGTCGAAGTGTTCAGACGGCAGCTTGTTGGTAAGGATTTCTCCCACGTGATGCACTTACCAGTCACATTTCTCTTCATATAACAGTGCAGTCGTGTTACGCGCATACAACCTTGAGCGGGATCTTCTTTCTTTTCCATAGAGCTCAATACAACTTCGCATACCTGGGCAACAGTTCCCTGACCGCGCTCTGTTGCTCTGCTCTGCATCAACATCTCACCGTAATACGTAGGTACCTTTGAGATGAAGTAATTATCAGCCAGTTCGTGTCATTTTGGAGCGCAATAGGTAGGTATAGTGAAACTTATTTGCGTGTAGAATCGAAATGTGTCTGACCTGCGCGAGCAGCCGCATCCCGCTGAAGCTCCCTAAGTTCGCCAACGAGAATATAGACAACGTTCCTTCCCCGCCCAAGTTTGTCGCTCCCGTGCGCCCTCTTACACCCCCACTCCCGCTATTGCGACCCTCTCTGCCCTTCACACCTCCTCCGCCTGCGCCTCCACTTTCGCTGTCATCAACCTTGACTAAGCTTTTTCTTGTTCTACAAGTTGAAGATGCAGACCCCAAAGAGCAAGGGAAAGGCCCTGAAGCGGAGGAAATAACGAAAAAGGGAGGAGTGAGTAAGTTTTGAAATCGCGAGGTATACTGTAGAGGGTAGGCCTGTAATCATAATCGAAGCATACACGGGTTGAATACAAGAAGTAGGACTTGGGAGGATTACATCAAAGTTGCAGTGTGATGGTGATGTCTTCTCATCGGGCTCGGCACGATGCGTGGGCGGGAGATCCGCTAGCGGCGCACTGCTGATTGGTTTCATGCAGGTCCGCTTCAACCCCAGAAATAACTCCCCAAGCCGCGCATCGTGAGCGCCGCTGCCACCAGAGTGTTGCGCCCGTGCTGCCGGCGAGCGCTTCCGATAATCTTCTAATCCTGCACTATGTAGAGCGCGAGCACGTCTATTATACCAAGGCTCGAAACCTCCGGCACCATGGACACGATCGCAGTGGCCCCCAAGGCGTCGGCGCTGGCGTCGCCCAAGATTGTTAAGAATGCAAAGGGCAACATTGTGCCGAGCAGCCAGATGGCGCATATCGCGTATGGATGCGGTAAGCGCTCCGTCATCCAGAGTGTCAGAGAAGGCTACTAACGCATGGCAGAGCACATGGGCGAGATGTTCGAGAAGGCGCGCAAGCAGACGCTCCAGCACTACCGAGCCATCCTCCAGAACATCCACGAGAAGCCGAGCATAATAGCGCAGACGTACACTGCGCCGGCGGATGCGCGCAATGTGGTATCCCTGAGGCCGCTGTACCTGTGCCTGCAGTGCCCGAGCATCATGACTGAGGTGGATCGCGATTTGCACTTCGAGACCAAGTCGCACTGTTTCTGTGGGTTAGACAATGCCATAGGAATACAAGGAGCTAACAGGAAGCAGCTGTGGAGTCACGAGACGGCAACATATACTGTGGCAATTGCCAGGACTTCATCTACGACGAGACGTTGGACGTGCTGAGAGTACAGAAGGGTGTGTGGCGGCATACTCGTGCTCCAAGACATCAGATTGGCTGACTGCAATACAGGCAAGAAGCGAAAGTACGAAGACAACACCACGACCGAAGACCACAAGCTCGTAATCAGCAACTCGACCTTCCTCCCCTGCCGCGCGATAGGTCTGCGCGGGCTCTATAATATGGGCCAGACGTGCTTCATGAGCGTCATCCTACAAACCCTCGTCCACAATCCATTCATACGGAACTTCTATCTTTCCGAAGGTCATAAGCAGACAGAGTGCGAGAGGGACTCATGTGTGAGCTGTGCGCTGGACGAGATGTTTGTCGAATTCCACTCAGCTGAGAAGACAGAGGGCTTTGGCGCCGTCAGCATGCTCATGGGCAGCTGGCTGGCGGGGGAAGCTCTCGCAGGATACCAGCAGCAGGATGCGCACGAGTACATGCAGTTCATACTCAACACGCTGCACCAGGCGAACGGCGGATCGACAGACGACTCGGAGGATTGCAAGTGCGTGGTACATCAGGCCTTCTGCGGGAAGCTCTCAAGTACGGTGACATGCGACAATTGTCGCAATGTGACCACGGCGCAAGACCCGTATATGGACCTTAGTTTGGACGTACGGATACAAGGCAAGAAACGGAAGATCAAGGAAGAAAAGGGTGAAGAGACACCTTTGGATTTGAGGGACTGTCTCGAACGCTTCACGGTGAAGGAGAAGCTGGGCTCAGCAGAGTACACATGTCGAAATTGCGACAGTCCGCAGAATGCGACCAAGCAGCTGAGCATCAAGCGGTTACCGCCGGTACTCTCCATTCACCTCAAGGTAAGTACCAAGAGCCGCCCGCAGCGTCCCTATACTGACAATTACCCAGCGCTTCGAGCACACAAAATCTACGTCCTCCAAGATCGAAACCCCCGTTCGCTTCCCTGTCAAACTAGACATATATCCCTACACGACCTCCCATAAAGCCGCCATGCGCGCCGTGAAGACCTCCGGCGCACCGCTCTCGAACCACAACGTCAACAGCCCGGCGAACGCCCTCGTATATGAACTGAGCAGTGTCATCGTGCACAAGGGCAAAATCGACTCTGGACACTACGTCAGTTACAGCAGGGAAGGCAACGACTGGTTCATGTTCGACGATAGCAAGGTAGTGCTGGTCAGTGAGGCAGAGGTGCTTGCTGCAGAGGCCTATTTGCTATTCTATATGGTTGGCGGACTAGAGGTCTAAGAGCTTCCTTGGAAGAAGGTGGAGTTCCGGCAGTTTGGTGTACAGTATCTCTGCTCGGGCATGTTACAGGCCCATGAGCTGCATGATTGGCGTTTAGAGGGCACCCCGGCGTTTGTGAGGGCAAGTTGAGAAGCCCTCTTTATCTTAGGATTATCTGGCATACCGGCTTCCACATTGTCACTTTCTCAATACATTACAAGTTTTCTTACACACACACACATCTGACCAGCCTCACTCAATGACGCTGACTTTCTTCGAACGCATTGGTGTTCATCATCCCCATCCCCAATCAGGCCGACCGCCCGATTCATGCTATCACAGCCTCTCCACTCGGGAAACTTTGCCGCGTCCAATACCGCCGCACACACACAAACGCGCCGTTTCAACGCACACTTCGTAGGGCAAAAAGCGATCTGAGCAGCACCTATTTTCACCGCAAACAGGTACATCCGGTGGCTTTACACCGCTCATCACATCCTCTTGGAGCAGCCACCCCACTCATGCAATATATCTGCTATCGTTCATGATTCAGCGTTTCGTGAGGTAAATATATTAAGGTATCGCTGCCTCCAAAGCTACCATTCGACTTTATTATTTTTTACTTCATGTACTAATTGAACGGCGATTTCGCCTTTGTCGAACTCGAAGAAATATTGCTCCTTGAGCTGGAATCCTCAAACATGGTTTCGATCTGGGTATTAACCGTTATCCCCTTCCCGCTCACAAACTGCTCAACGCCGCCTATTTGATCCGATGGCGGATCTGTGAAGAGCGAGTCTTCTGATCCGTTTGCTCGGTTCCGCGTATCGTGCGTGGAGTGCAGACCGCCGGAGATCTGGTTCGAAGCAGTCAGACGGTTTCCGCTTGCTTTTCGTCGCGCGGACGAGAGTTCGTAGTGGCGGCCGTAGCTGTTGGCGGAGTCTTTGGTGGTGTTGTTTGTGCCGAGGATCATGGAGCGGAGCGCGGGGAGACAGGTGGCGATTATGGCGATGGCGGTTTCGATCATGGAGACGGTGCATGTTAGCATCGTTTCGTTCCTGTGCGAGTAGTAGGCTCGGACGACTGGCGATATGTTAGTCTGATTCCAGTTCATCTCGAATCTGATGGGAACGTACTGCTGGCAATAACCACGAAGAAACCCAAGGCGAAGATTCCGGCTACACCGAGCTTTTGCTTCAGCTTCATCTGTAGCCGGGAGACCATGGTGATGGGTAGGCAGATGATGAACACGTCGGTTGCGATGTTGAAGCAAATGGTGATCCAGTAGTTGATCTCGGCGGCTTTGGGACTGCATTGATCTGCGCATGGTCAGTCTCCACCGTTCGCATGCATGTGGGTCAGGGTTTGCTTTTGCTCACAGGCTGGGTTATTCGACCATCGCTTGTCGTGGGGGAAGCACTGAAAGATGATGTCGAAAAAGATGACGAGGTAGGTGACAGCTAATCCGGCAAGCGTGAAGTTATACACAAGGACCAGACGCGAGCCGGGAGCAGCCAGGCTCTTGTAAAAGAAGACCAGGGCGAACTTGATCGCCCATAATGAGGAAACGTAGAGTGTGGATCCGGGGATGATCATCTGCATTATGCCCTTGAAGTTTTCCGGGGTGATTGACGCCATGTCGCCCAGCCCTAGGTTCCACATGTGCTGCTGGATGATGAGGTCCCCGATCAGACATGTCAGAGAGAGTAGGATGAGGTAGTCGTCGATTCCTAGGTTGCCCAGTCTCGACCATCGCGCATACATGCGTAGCGCGACAAAAGGCACCGTGGCTACGGTGCAGATATACCATGACACCTGTCAACTGAATCAGCACTGC